AGTTTGCATTACTTATAACTGATTGTCCTTTTTGAGTTCTTCTTTCTAGTTCTTACCCTTTTTGTTAAACTCTGATCGTTAAGGTCTTTCTGATACTCATTAGATAGGGTAGCTCACCATTTTTTTGTTATGTACCATAAAAGCCAGTGGTATTTCTGATATGGAAATATGTGTGATTTCCGATGAATTTGACTTAAAATCAAGTTAGAAAAAAGTCAAAAAAATACCAAACAATGAAAGTTGGCCATTTAGTGTTTGAAAGTGTGAGAACTGATCCTTAAGTAAAGCTTTTGTATGTGGGAAAATTTACGATAATTGCTATTTTTGAAATCTATGAATTCTTCTATTCTACCACATCCTGCGCCATGCGTATTGATATCAACGATATTATATGTGTGCTATCGTGATGTCAACACAACTGTTCACCATGACCATGCGATGAATATTCAAAATGTTGCTTATTATATCTTAAAAGCAGCTTTAATGGTGATTTTTTGACAAAATACAAATTTTGCTATGGAAACTCGGACAACATAACCAAATATGCACCAAGTCTGTCTATAATTTCTAACTGGTTAATAAAATCTTTGTACCATGTTTACAACATGGTTCTGCGATTCAGATGATTAATATTCACTTATCATATGTTTCTTATGAAATTGCAGTAACCGTTGGAAAATTGAAAACCAACCCAATTGTTGCAAAGAGACAGCTGCAGTCCAGTGCTATACGTGGTCTTGTAGTAACACCAAGTGGACATATTGTTGCAACGGGTAGTTCGGCCTCCACAAAGATTTATGACAGTGATTATAGTCTCATCAAAGATATCGGCAAAACATTCTTTCGTGTTACAGTTACAAGTGATGGGCAACTAGTATTCACTGACTTTTCTAGCACAATCTACTTCTATACAGCAGACGGCAGTCCTTTGCGAAACATAACCGTTACGGGGTCTTCATATCAACTACGTGGTATTACTACACTACATACTGGTCAGTTGGTTGTATGCGATGACAACACAGGCAAAGTGTATATTGTTGATCAGGATACAGGGAATGCAACGCCACTATCTGCTCCTGGTACGTTTAATAGGCCTTACGGTGTGACAACTAACGGCATGGACGTTGTTATAGTTTGCGACACCACCAGGCATTTTATAAAAGGGCTAGATCAAAATGGCAATGTACTCTTCACTTACGGTACATTTGGATCAGGGGATGGACAATTGGATAATCCCATTGATGTCTACACGGATACAATGAACTATAGTGGTAGCAGACCAATGGAACCACAGAATACAGCTGCTTACCCCTGATGGCATGTTCCATAATAACCTCCTAACACGGAGTGATGGCGTGAACAGACCAGTTTCTGTTTGTATAAACCGATACGGGCAGATACTGGTTGGGGATTACAGTGGACAATTATTCACTATCACATATAGGGAATACGGTAAATGTTACACAACCACAATTAATGCTACATTCTATTGCAACATTATTACACATGATCATTATTGTACATTAATATTAAAGTGCGCATCAATATACCCAGATTCCGATGGAAATAAAAAAATGTTGATATTAAATCACACCCTACAGTGTACGAGGGTATATCATAAAGTTCTCATAATATCTCTCTAATTTTTTTATTTTTCAATATATTCTGATGAATTTTTCACATAATGTGTAGTATAGAATGCTGTATTAATCTATCAAAAAATATTTGGTATAACAGAAATATTATTCAAGAAATGGTTGCCATAGTAACCCGAAATCAAGGCACCCGGGGCAAATAAAAAATTGTGCAAGAATAGCCCCAACTAACCATGTTTAAATACATAATAAGTTATCAAATAAGCTGTGAAACACATCAAATTGTTAAATGCCATGTTTTCTTGACTGTTTTGAACAATCATAATGGTCATGTGAATTGTGTGATATCATAATGGATGATTATAATGCTTCATTAGAAGTGTTGTTAGGCACTACAACTGTTTTGTCAAATATTCCAAGGAAAGTCGATTTCCCCTTTAGTTTATCTTAAATATGTTTAGACCACAAATAGGGTGGTAATTTTGTTGATATCTTTGCAACATATCTGTTTTAGATCATCTTTAGTATGATCAAAGGACTTTTCGAACTTAACCAAACTTTTTGTCAGTATGAATTTTATTTTTCTGATGATCTCTGCATCTATGCATTATCTTACTCTGTCATTTCTGATCATTAAGTTTTGATTCCCAGAGTCTGGTATCACATCTAATGAAGCATGTAAGCATCCCCTAAGACATCACATAATTTACATGATCAATTTATTTTATAGTAAAAGCATTTAACAACATATTTAACATAACATTTCAATGTGTTTGATAATTTATGAGAGTTTATTATGTATGTAAACATGGTTAATTAAGCTCATTTTCTCAATTATTTTTATTTGCCCCGGGTGCCTTGATTTCCGGTTACTATGGCAACCATTACTTATTTAATTTTTCTGTTATACCAAATATTTTTTGATAGATTAATACAGTGGTCTATACTGCAGATTTCATGAAAATTTCATTAGAATATATTGAAAAATAAAAAAATTAGAGAGATATTATGAGAACTTTATGATATACCCTCGTATATGAGGTTAACGAAGGGGATATTTAACGTAGCATATACCCCTGTTTATTTTCTCGTGAAGCCACTCACACTGGGGAGTATCGTGATGCAACAACACAGTGTTGCAACACCGGGCCATTACCCACTTGCGTTCTTCTCAAGGCATTCAAAATACACGTCCTGTGGGCGAAGATTCTTTATATGTATTTTCAAAAATGTATACTTTTAAATATTATAATGTACTATAAGTTGTTCTATAACATACAGGGTGTCCCAGAAGTAATGATAATTATGCTCTTAAATTTTTATTTGACAAGGAAACAATATGAAATTCATACAAATTAAAGTTTAAAATATAAGCTCCATTTTGCTATATTACATTTATGAATTTATACAAAAATAGTCCATGTATAGTTGCCATAGCAACATGTATGCGCGTTCTGCGGAGCAGTTTCCGTATATTATAAATGTTCAAACTTAGTTTAGAAAAGCAGTTATTCTGTGATAATGTTTCAAGCTTTTAAATCATTGTTATGGTAATTGTATACAGTTGCATGATTTCATAGTGGTTTAATATTATGTCATTTATCTCATTGTGACAGGATTATCACTTTAATCTGATATTATGACATCACATGATGATGTCATATAGGGTTTCACAAAAGGAAAACTCTTAGGAACACAACCTAGGAATTTCCAGGGAGGTGTACATTATGCCACCAACGTTGAGCAAAGATGAAAAATTAGAGCAGAGAGCAGTCATAAAATTCCTTCAGAAGACAGGGGGTAAACCCAGTGACACTATACAGGAGTTTAAACAAGCATATGGTGAGAGAAGACTGTCCAACCCCATTGTGTATAGGTGGCATAAACACGAGAGCGAGGCACAATTGCGCCGCTTGGTTCAGTTGGCTCTGCAGGATATGTCCAACAGTGGTTTTGATCATGTCTTCCAATCCTGGCTGGAAAGGCACAGACAAATTGTCTCCAGCAAAGGACAGCGTGGATAAGTGAATCAACAAAGTACAATGCTCTTAAGGAATATCAGGAATGAAGTAGCAGCATTACAGTAGTGATGTGAACAGCAGGGAAACATATGAACATGAAATGTTTTTCAAAAATGTATGAAAAACACACAGCTGCTCCGCAGAACGCGTGTACATGTTGCTATAGCAACTATACATTGAATATATTTGTGTAAAGTAATAAATGTAATATAGTAAAATGAAGCTAACATCTTGATCTTTAATTTGTGTGAATTTCAAAATGTTTCCATATCAAATAAAAAATTTAGAGCATAATTATCATTACTTCTGAGACATCCTGTAGTTAAATCGCCTTTTAACATGGCACACTATAGTAACCCAATCTATTTTCATAAACCACTGTTTCATAGCTTTTTATTGTGATTTGGTCCATTGATCTTGGATGAAACTGAAATTTTGTCTGTATACTCAAAAAGCGATGATTTTCGGGTGTGTTGTTTAGAAGCAAGCGTCAGAGGATTTGGGAAAAATGGTGTCAAGTACGGATAATATTGTATGCCCATTTTGGTATAATGTCAATGATTGATAAATGTATACATATCTAGCCGATAGTGATCTGTATGTCTTTTACTTTTAATTTCGATATGATCTGTTGATAGTGGATGGTAAGCTGAATAAACAACGTTTTGAAGTTATTTAATAAGATCATGTGCCTTTTACTATGAATGACGAAATAAACATAACTATCTACCTTACACACCTTAACTTGATTACTTCAAGGTAAATCAGTTATCGTAACCATTGTCATTTAGAGCAATAATGTCAGTTTACAAATATGTTCTTGATATTTAATTCATGGTATTATCAACCCTACTTTGAATAAATTGAAATGAAAGGAAGAAATTTAATTAAATACCTGGGAGTAAAAAAACCATAAAATGTATAAGAAATAATAATAATATAACATATGTTTACTTCATTTTCTTTAAGTTTGTGCAACAACCGCGAACGGATTGTTTATTTATAATAATATACCAACATATCACACACTCCTTTACCAGAGTTTGGCAACCCGAACTTCAAAATTGATAGCATGTGAAAGCCTTTAGGTGATTGGCAATTTGGAAAAATGAAGTTAGCCCGATAATACAATACTTTTCTTGGGCGGAGGTGAAAATTAGTTTGATGGATATATGAAACTGCATTGATCCTACAGTAAGGGTCGCGTTGCAAAACATTTGAAGAGAAGTGTTCGTTAAACGGAATACCATCAGTTATTAATTAATTGTGTACGATGAATGGACTGTCCAAGACTGTCTTATGATTATTTTAGAAGGATATGATATATAACATACCCATAATTGAAATGAACCTCGATCATAATATATTTGAAGCAACTGTAACTCATTGCAGTAAATAACCGAACGGCACGGCATTTAAAATACCTTGAACGCGTAACATAGAGTGCGACCCGCGTTTCGTGTAGAGGATGCCTTGCAAAGGATTGTTTGTGTTTTTGGTTGTACTGATACCCCCGTATTGTATCATAGGACAGAAGATAGCTGCCTTTAATGTCCAAATATTCGGACAAACTAAGGCACAAAAACCTGATGTTATGGACATACTGAAACAGGTTTGTAAAATTACCATGTTTTAATCTTTTCAAACCTAAATAGGACGGCTTAAACATCCTTTTTTGTTTGGAGATTTTGTCAATAGATTTTGCACATATCTGCAACTTATCGAACCTTGTCAAACTACATTTTTCTTAACTTTTTTGTAATCTGTAATTTTTTTTTTTTAATCATTTTATTTAACCTAGAAGGTAACAGTGTACAAGTACCATTATAACCCTCTAGGGTTCTACAATATATATTACAAATAGCATGTAAACTTAAATAAAACTTAAATAAATATGTCAGATGAATCTCTGGGTGTGTTCAATGAACTTCTGTACGTGAGTAAAAATAGTTAAATTATCGTTGACGGATATGGCATCACTGCCATGTATAAGTAATTGGATTTTTGAATGTTTTGCTAAGTTCCGGTAGTTCCCAGTGTTCCCAATATCTCTCACTAGGGTGGCACGTGGGGCAGCGTAAAGGGGACAGTCAAAGAGAAAATGAGAGATATCTTCTTTAAAATAGCCACAAGGACAGTTTTGATGATAAGAAAAACGCTGAGCATTCAAAGCACTAAGACCCATACGAACTCGAGAATGATTGATTGATGATCTGCTTGCCTTTAAGGAATATAGTGGATTTTTGGGGTTGCAATGGGATAGTTTGTATTTGTGTTTGAAAAGAGGAAGGTAGCTGATGCTTTTGAGTTCTTTGCTTAGATTGTTCCATTTATTTAAAATATAAGGTAGGAAAGAGGAGGAGGTCATTTTTAGTCGGCAGTGGGGTAACCTAAAATCATGGATGTTTCTGAGTGGGTATCTCTGTTGGGGGTTTTGGATGAATGGTTGAATCAGGTCACTTAGGTATTGGGGTGCATTTTTATTAGAAATTTTATGAAACAGGAATAGAGCATGCATTTCTCTTCTTTTCTTTAATGTATCCCAGCCAAGCTCTTTCAAAATATTATTGTAGTTAGTGTGTCTATAAGCTCTGGTACATATAATTGCTGCATCCCTCTGAACTTTTTCTAAGATTTGGCTTTGGTTATCAGTACAGTTATTGTATATGACATCACAATATTCTAAAACAGATCTTACCATTGAAAAGTAGAGAGTTTCCAAGTGTTTTTTATCAAGATTGTATCTAAAAGCAGATCTTTTTATTAGGGATAGGCGCTGATTTGCTTTTGAGGCAAGTTTATTTATATGAGAGTTCCAGTTCATTTTGGACTGAAGAGTTAGCCCTAGGTGACAATGCTCTTCGACATTCCTCAAAATGGTATTGTTTAAAGTTAAATCAGGGTAAAGAAATTTGTTCTTTTTCAGAGTTATGGTCAAAAGTTTTGTCTTATTTGCGTTAAAAGTAACTTTCCATGTTTTTGACCATGCTTCCAGGCGTGCCAGATCACGCTGTATCTTATTTGAACTGATTAATGGGTCTGATACAATCTCCATTAGAGATGTATCATCTGCAAATAAGTTAATATCTGTTTCCATTGATGCTACTATATCGTTAATGTAAAAAAGAAATAATAAAGGGCCTAATATAGACCCTTGAGGAACACCAGCTTCAAGAAAACGCCAGTCTGATTCGATTCCATCAATGACTACCCGTTGTTTTCTATTTGAAAGGTAACTATCTATCCATTTCAAGAGTTGGCCAGAAATCCCATGCATTTGTAATTTGAAAATAAGACCACGGTGCCAAACTTTGTCGAATGCCTTGGAGATATCTAGGAAGACAAGAAGAATTTCTCTTTGATCATCTAAACCATTATAGATTTTGTTCACTAAGTTCACTAATTGATTCACAGCTGAGTCAAGTGGTTTGAAACCAGAGTTTTTGGGAGTCAGTATGTTGTTTACTAAGCAAAATCTATAAATAACATTAAAAACAAGACGCTCAAAGACTTTGGAAATGCAAGAAAGTAATAAAATTGGCCTGTAATTTCCCTTGATTTGTCTATCATCTTTTTTGAAAATCGGCGAAACATTTGCTTCTTTCCAGGTTGAAGGAAATATTCCAGTTAAAAGAGAATGGTTGAAAATACCGCATAAGGATGGTGCAAGTCCTAATGCACATTCTTTTAAAAGTTTGTTTGAGACATTATCTGGACCATTTGATTTAGATATATTGAGAGAAAGAAAGGACTTTAAATACTTCATGCTCTTCAAATTGAATTAGGTCAAGTCTTGCATTAGTAATATATGTCAAGTTTGGAAGAGGCGGATCATTTTGATTAAGTGGTAAGATAGTTTGGTCGGCGAAGTAGTTATTCAAAATGTTTGCCTTGGCTTTAGTGTCAGTAATTATAATATCATCATTTTCGATGAGAGGAGGTATACCCCTTGAAATTTTTGAGCCATATAAATTTTTCAAAATATTAAAGTATAATTTAGGTGAGGTTTGATTATCGGATAATTTTGTTTTGAGTGAATTAGTATGGTCAATTTTTGCTTGGATGATTGCGTGTTTCACTTCTGTTCGTTTAACCTGTAATTGCTCCTTAACCTAAAATAAAATCTTAATAAAAGGGGATTCCAGAATTATTTATTTAATTAAATCATTTCCCCAGTTGCATAATGACATATACATCTTTGCTGTTTTCGATAACAAAACTTTAAGGAAATGAAGCTGTTACACTGGCAATTCTAATAGATATTCCATTTTCCCGTTAAGGATGGCCATTCTCTCCTCATAAATTTTCAAAATTTCTAAGACCAATCGAGTTTATATTAATATAAATAAAAACCCAATCTAAAATACAACCTAATACGCGTTTACTTAACATTTTAGATTATTCGCAGATATGATGTCATCTTGATACAAGAGATTCGAGATATCGCTGAGACAGCCATATTTGACCTGTTAGCATTGGTCAATGAAGGGTACGTTCAAAATCATAAATATCTACGAAGGGTAGTATAGCTACTTATGTAAAAATTATTTCTCGACTTAACATTAACAATTATGAAAATGTTCATTCTAATTCAAAAAGTCCGTATTTTGTTTTTCTTCAATTAGTTCGTTTTACCTCTTTCTATTTCAGGGCGACCGAGTACTCCATAATACAGAGCGTGAGACTAGGTCGGACAAGTAGTAAAGAGCAATATGCCTATATACAGGTACGATATGTTTATTCTACCGCACTTTGAAAAGGTGTCATTAGCCGTGTGCTGATGGGCGTCCGTGTGTTCGTGCAGATGAGTGAAAAGCGCTGATTAATTAGTTTTTGGGCATTCTGGGTTATTATTTACATGGCGGCCATTTTGCGATTTAAGTGAGATAATTACCACTTTCTATCTTGCTATTACAAGTTTAGATACATACCCCCGTTTCGATAAGAGGCTAGTATTGCCTCAGGACTAATGATGGAACGAGATCGTCTTTTTGATAAAATTACGAATGTATTAGACGTGAGCTCATCTTGTCAATTATTAAATGGAAATGAAGAAGTTCTAGTTGAAACTATCCTAGGTTCAAATACTGACATTCAGATAAATGAAAATATATGTGAACAAATAATCATCTTGGTGGCAAAGTATGCATGCGGTAAATTATAGTCAAACTACTAATGTAAATTAAAATATATTTGTTTTGTAAATAATTGTTTGTAAATAACTGCTTGTATAATTATTTTTAAAAAGCTCTTCTTTGAGAAGGAAATAAAGATAAACAAACAAACAAACAACCATTTTACATGTCACTCCGAGCAGTTATTAGGTTAAGACTAATTGTTCATTTTCCTTCTGGTACAGGTGCTTACTTATTTGTCAAGTGGCAATTCTGCTTTCTGCATTCCAGAAGCGAGCTATCTGTGACAGATGAATTTGTATTTAACGACGTGTCAGATGTTTTTGAAAGAGAGCCGTATATTGTTAGATTTGAAGCTGCCACAAAACGTAAGTGAGATATTTGTATTCAATAAAATACACTTCCTTTCAGAGGTTTGGCAACTGGGAGTGCCATTTCATGCATGACGTTTGTTATTTGAGACAGACATGCTACTTGTAGGACTCTGGCAAGAGGGGGAGAAACCCCAGGGTTCAAAGATGACATACGCTTATAATGTAAATCTGTATTGAGATGACATCGTCGCTGATTGGTTTAGCGAGGCGATCGTTGATTGGTTTAAAACTAGGTCAATTTGAAAACTTTGAAAACCAAGATGGAGGGAAGTATAAATATACGTACTTCCGGGAAAGGAGGTGCGCGAAGGAGGAAATCGTATGTCATCAATTGAATCATGGGTTTTTCCCTCCTCTTGGATCTGGCAAAGAAATTGAGCTGGTCAAATAGTATTGCCTGAGATATATGCACGTGATGATATTTTCAGATGTGACGGACTTTACACTAGTCGGACTTCACACTAAGCCAACAGACGCCGTAGCCGAACTTGACGGCCTTATCCCTGTCATGGCTTACATAGAGGATCGATTTTCGAACAACCCTACTGAAAACATCATGATCCTCGGGGACCTAAACGCTGATTGTAGCTATGTTACCAACGCGGAGGAAGCTGCTCTTGCTCTACGTACAACTCCAGGATATCATTGGTTTATAAATGATGACGATGATACCACAGTAAGCGCGACATCGTGCGCATACGATAGGTAAACAGCACCACTTTTATGACTCCTCGTTTAATAGCATGTGAAAGTCGGTCTTTGTTTGAATTTGAATATTCATTCTCAATTACTTTTGGTTGGATATTTAATTATGATAGAATTGAGCAATTTGTTAACGTGAATGATGAAAAGACTGAAACATATGGTCCATCTGAGACTCTAATTTTGTGTAGGGATAAAGGCTAGCTGCTTTAACTCTGGCTACAAATAACAAGCAAATCACTACAAGTGCCCATAGAGAGAGTTCTATTGTATATTGCGAATTTTGTGGTATTCGAGCAAAAAATGATTTTCCTCAATATGTTCCAGGTTTATAGTAACAAGTCCAGGGATCTTTGATTATGAGAAGACAACTTCGATATTCCGATTTGACCTGGAATACGGGCTGACCAATGAATTTGTAAGTCGTATGGCGCGGTCAACTTTTGAATTTAAAACATGGTCAAATTCGGAATATAACAGCATGGTCAACTTCTGTGACAAGAAAACCGAGTGTAATCAGTATTTAGTAATTTTTGAACTCGCGGAAGACTTTATACTCCTTGGTATTGGAAGATTTCTATAGAAATGGCAACTTACTTAATCGTTATTGAAACTATCTCCAGATCCCCCCGCCCATATATTTAAATTTTAATTTTTTTTACTCAACAGGCCATTACCGTCAGTGACCACTATCCCATTGAAATGGAATTCATCCCGAACACTCCAAAAGGCTACATGATTGGTTCATTTAATATTCAAATATTCGGGGTTACAAAGGCATCTAAACCTGAGGTTATGGAGATTTTATCAAAAGTGAGTAGTGAAATTAGTATATATATATGCGTCATTACTTTCCTCTTATTGCCAAGTCTTATTGCCTAATGAATAATCATGGGATTTGTATGATAAGCCCAACTACAGACTGTAGTATATTCTACTGAATCAGTTTTTAAGTTTAAAATTCAACAATAATTTTTTGAAAAACATTAGGCCTAATAAAGAATCTTTATTTCGCAAAATTATCAGCATTAGATAAGAGTGTTTTGTTAATTTTTGTATTTTGGAAAACGGTATTCGTAATTATCCCACCAAACGAAGTTCTTAGGGATATGTAGATCATGGGTGTACATTTTCATGGCGAAATTCGTTTACTAGTTTTTGGGTTTTCTATCGTGAAATGTCCAAAATGAGAAAGGTAAATACTATTTATAAAACATATTCGGATATGTGGGATTTGCAACTCCGCGCAGTTGCTGTGTTCCAGATAATTAATGTAAAAAAACACGAAAAATCGATCTTTAAAATCTCACATTCGAATAAATTCCATTTAGATAATTCAGAGGTATGATATCATATTCATCCAGGAGATACGAGATATATCCGGTGATGCCATCGAGGAGTTACTGAGTTTGACAAATACAGAAGGGTGAGTCATAAAGACTAAGCGTATATTACCGTGTGTTGATCTAGTTCATACATTGCTAAATAATGAGACAAATAGCGAAACTACACTTTTTATATACACACATATAGCATACTCTCAATAAGATATTTTATAGATATCTTTAAGTTTACTTTCACAAACAAACATTTCAATAATCTATACTTTGAATACACAATTCGTATTAACAGCACAAGTAAAGTGCATTAATTTTCTTCTGTCGTATTTTTCTGAAATCATAATTCTGTGTGCATATTTCCATCAAAATCACAATAATGCTAACGAAGAGTTCAAAAAGTTAGTTTATCAGTAGGAATTACTTTATCTAGTAGATAATTTTAGAATATGTATCCAGTTTTGTGTCCTTGACCGTGGCCGGATTTTCATGTTCTTTCAGAATTCCATCCACAATTCTCTTGCAAATTCTCACCAGTTTCAGTTTCTGAAAATATTTGTACATTTAATTCCTTACATCTTTCTTTATCTTGATGTGAAATAACAAGCTATGATATTTGTAAACACGCCAGAAATTAACAGAATGCTATTCGAAGCGTTATTAGAGAAATCCGCCATTTTTGTTTGTCGATTTGGACCAATCAGGACGGTGGTTCATCTCAATACATATTTACATAACAGACGTACGTCATCTTTGAGCCCTCGGGTTTCTCCCCCTTTTCAATCGTCGATTGACTCTAGTGTAGCTGAATAGAGCACAGCTACAGGTCATTGTCTCATCATTTCTTTGCCTAGGCCTGAACAGTATGCTATGACGGTTAGTGAGCGCCTCGGGAGATCTTCCAGCAAAGAACAATATGCGTACATGTATAGGTAGGTACTTTGTCTTGCGTTAAGACCCTTAACTATCTTACAATCTGAAATTCCAGGGTCTTGGAGCAAGACTTAGCTTAGTGAGGACTGTATTTTAAACTATACGCAATTGACACGTGATTGATTACGCAATCCCTTATAATACGATTCTATGACATTGGTTAAGTTAGGAGAATGTCAGATACTTACGAGGCATATAACTTCAGGTATTTTAGCACTAGAGGCCCTGGGGTTAAAAAAGTCACACGAACCCCCCTCCACACCAATCCCTCCCCTGTAAATTCGTTATTAGTAAAGCTAGGATGTTCAGACGTTTTTCATATATTCTTCATTTAATTATCTACTATATAGTGTAATATCTTTTACAACTATGATGATGTAAGATTGCGTAATTCTATTCTTAAGATTGTAGAATTCTTAAGATTGTAGAATTAGTGCTTGAATTTCCAATTTCTTCTATTGGAACTGATGTATTTATCATAAGTCGATTACCCTATGTACAATTCTGCTGATCTTTTCAGAATACGTGCACTTTAAGCTTCTGAGAATTTTAAAACCCTACCCGATGCCTATAAAAAGTTTCAGGAAACAAACTTAAATATCTAGATCTTTTTGACCATCGGGGCTTCTAGGATTAATAATAAAATACACTCCCTCCATAATTTACTGTCTGGATTTTCTATTTGATTACATCGCATGTGCCTCATCTATTTCTGATTCACTGTCCCTCATCTCTCGCTAATACTAGATTGAGCAATTACTTCTGATCAGTTTCTCAGCTATTTAGCTCAGTCACATTTGATATACACAGGTACGGTACGACGGCCATATCTTCCAAACTTTCGGTTGCCAAACTGAAGGGGAATGCAAATCGAACCAACAATAGTCATGTTTATCGTATGATCTGTAAAATGAAGCCTTCTGATTTGTCAGTTCTTGTGTTGTACCAATCTGTTTTGCTATTGATATTTTCCTCATTGATCCTCTCCGTGGAAATACAGAAAGTATTGGTTGGAGGGGACAATTTGAGTAACAATACAGATAATACAGCATGTTTCCAAGGAATTATCTCCTAAGTTAAATTATTTATTGGCCTAAGGTCACACGATAAAAACGTTATAGAATGATATGAAGTGCAATACAGGATATCTTCTGCTCTCGATATTCTTTAGTGGCACTCGATTTCTTCTCGCGCCAATACAGAATTTTTCGAGTATAATATATCCTGTATTGCACTCCAAATCATTCAATAACCGATAGGCTTCCTCCATCTTCTATAGGAATAATATATACTCTGAATTGTTGACAATAGGTTATCCACAACTTCTGTGATATCTTCATACGTTTTTGACGACGCTCAGGATGTATTTGAGAGGGAGCCATACATCGTAGAATTCTCTACGCAAGAAGCAGGTCTGTAATATATAACCTTTTGTTACTTACTTATCGGCTACATTGTTCAATATAATGTTGTTGAGATTAAAATGGCGGTCTATGTGGGAAAATGGCTTTTAAATCTCTTATTTTGATATTTACCAAAGTCCGATCCGATTATATGTCCGATTATATTAACGTATGTCTTACCCTAATGTCTACCTCACATTTGCCCCAATTTATCGGCCGGCGCCCTGCCGATTGAGTATTTTCCTCAGAATTGATGGTCAAATCTCAAATTTGAGGTCAGATGTGAACTCATGATAACGTGTACATTATTTTAAAAGAAATATTCGAGTAATTTGATGCAAGTTGACATCAGTTTTGAACAGAATACCGCAATCGGCCGGTCGCCAGCCAATGGATCGGAACAAATGTGATAAAGGCATAACTTATGTTGTGCTCAAGCCGTACCTGAGTTTGCGCTAGCTGGTATACACGTGAAACCATCAGATGCTCTTGCTGAACTAGACGCCCTGGCCCAGGTCCACACGGACATTACAAACCGCCTCAACACAGATGAGGTTGTCTTCTTGGGTGACTTTAACGCTGATTGTAGCTACTTGAACGCTGGTGAGAGGGATGCGTTAGTTTTAAAGTCCAGTGATTACTATTGGCCGATTGGGGCTGATGTTGACACAACAGTGTCTAGCTCAGACTGTGCATATGACAGGTATATCAAAATAGAATGTATATGTCCCAACAAAAATCATTGAACGTGTAACTGACAGGGCCTCCTTATCTGATATTGAAAAAGCAGGAAGTATGAGTTTAGCGTTAAGGTTTTAATTAGGGATAGGGTTCCAGTGAGGGTCAGAGTATCTTTGACTATCAATAACTACAAAACCAAAAATTGTTCACGAGCAAGTTTTTGTCTCCCTTGACATCCCAGTCACAAATTTGACATCGTGATCAAATCTATCTTCAGATTCATATTCGTAAGCAGCAGTGACATGAAAACAAATTTGAAACCAAACTCTGTCAAGCCATTTCTCTTTGACCAGGCGTACAATCTATCAAGCGAACAGGTTAGTACTGTTTTGTTTATTTTCACTAACATGTAACTTTAAAAGCCGAGGTAACATTTGTTCTACGGGGACCGTACAGAGGTCAAAGTTTAACAAAATCTACAGGGTGTCCCGAAAGTATGCCCCCCCCCCCCCTAGGCAGACATATATCAGCGTCGTCATAGTATATATGTATATATATATGTGTGTCATATATCATTTTAAAGCTTATCCAAAGGTACATTGATTTGCCAAGTATCATGGTTCAACTCTCAAATGTGAAAAAATTACAGGCATTTCAAAATTTAGTGTTTGGTCAAAATTAAGTTCAATTTTACACCAAATCACTAGTCAATGTGTCCTCCCGGCCCATCTTAACAGCAGCAATTATTTTCGGGTCGGATGTATATTGAGTTGAAAAAAGATAACGATGAGGATAGAAACTCTAAGGAAACTCTTCTAAAGTCCTTTAATAGGTTTTAAGAGGTTTATAAAATTCCACACCCCTATTTGAAGGGCCTTTAAGGTCATATCTGAAAATAATTGCTGCTGTTAACATGGCCAAGGAGGGACACATTGACTAGTAATGTGGTGTAAAATTGAACTTTATTTTGACAAAACACCAACTTTTAGAATGACTTTTTCCCATTTGGGAGTTAAACCATGATACTTGGCAAATCAATGTGACTTTGGATAGGCTTTAAAATGATATATGACACTATGAGGACACTAGAATATGTCTGCCTAGGGGCCATCTTAACAGCAGCAATTCTTTTCGGGTCGGATGTATATTGAGTTGAAAAAAGAGAACGATGAGGATAGAAACTCTAAGGAAACTCTTCTAAAGTCCTTTAATAGGTTTTAAGAGGTTTATAAAATTCCACACCCCTATTTGAAGGGCCTTTAAGGTCATATCTGAAAATAATTGCTGCTGTTAACATGGCCAAGGAGGGACACATTGACTAGTAATGTGGTGTAAAATTGAACTTTATTTTGACAAAACACCAACTTTTAGAATGACTTTTTCCCATTTGGGAGTTAAACCATGATACTTGGCAAATCAATGTAACTTTGAATAGGCTTTAAAATGATATATGACACTATGAGGACACTAGAATATGTCTGCCTAGGGGGGGGGCTCATACTTTCGGAACACCCTGTATATAGATTTGGAATGTGTATCCCTGTATTAAATATCCTTGGTAGTTCTCTTGATTTCGGGAATCTTCGACGACCAAATGTTACTGGGGCATAACATGAATTCTCCAAACTGCATTTTTTCTTTTAAGGCTCTGGCTGTCAGCGACCACTATCCAGTTGAAATGGAAATTTATCGATAACGCTCTGTGGTTGACCTCCGGCGCATAAGCAGTAATGAAAACAGTGAAACCCGAAAGGGCGCCTAGACATTATTTCTAAAATCTGGATTTGGGACATTATTTTTATGATATATCATTTTCACCATCTAAATAAGAAGACTACGGAGATATTCAGAACAGACCAACTAATATTATGTTATTATTCAATTGTAAATTGTTATATTCGTGAAATTTTCAACCCAAAAGCTGCATTATCGTAAATATTCTGATATTTCATTTGTGGGAAACGCACCATATTACTTGAAATTGGAATGTCGATATTCAAAAATTCCTGATGTATGATAGGTGAGCAAAATACAAAAATGATGATTGCAGGGAGTAGAAGTATAACTTGGCCAAATGAAATAACTTAGGCACAAAATTATGACATCATAGTTAGTTTCCAAAAAATCATATATTCTTGATAACACTGCATGATAACACTGCATGATAACACTACATGATAACACTGCATGATAACATTGTATGATAATATTACATGATAACACTGCATGATAACACTGAATGATAACACTACATGATAACACTGCATGATAACACTGCATGATAACACTACATGATAACACTGCATGATAACATTGTATGATAATATTGCATGATAACACTGCATGATAACACTACATGATAACACTGCATGATAACATTGTATGATAATATTGCATGATAACACTGCATGATAACACTGCATGATAACACTACATGATAACACTGCATGATAACATTGTATGATAACACTGAATGACAACACTGCATATCAAATGTTTATCTCCAAGAAGAATTAATGTCTCTTGCCTTCTAATCCTCAATAGCGGAGATTTCAAAATAACTCTGGGCGATCTAGAGAATATTGTAAAGAAAACACCCTAAGGAAAAATATTGACAAAAATTGCATTTGAATTAACATTTCATTGAAATATTGATAACAGAATGTCACATTTACTAGAATATCTTGTAAGAATATGAAGTCCTTCCTATCGTCAGTTCTATCCCAAGCTAAATGGCCCTGACTTCTATATTGGTTGTTTTTATTTAAGACGATTTTCACTTGGCTTTGTCACCAACATAGTCACCTACTCTAGGAATCAAAATTATATCTCGATTTGACCATGGGGTTATGGGGAAGAGGGATGATCATATGCTATGGATATTCTCTTATTTCGAACATAATAACGTGACATCGAAGTTAATCTGGGTCAACGTTGATTATGACTTCTCCAGTAGCATGCTTCTATTTTTTAAATGAATATGTAATGGTTGGTCTTTAAATGCGTTAACATGTGTTCCTCTCATTTGTTTAGCTTTCAATACCTTCTTCACAAATTAATAATAATTTTTGATCTTAAAGGATAAGATGCTCTGAGAGAAACACGATGTCACAAAAGCATTATTCAAATTTAAAATCTAATTTTAAGTGAAAATATTTTTTAAATCAGTAACAGAATATCGATTTCCAAAAACTGTGAGAAATTGTTTTTATTGCGATTTCCTCAAAAAATGGTCAAGTTAGCGACACGACAGTCCCGATGGTTCGCCACCATAGCTGTTTTTCATTCTTTTTATCCCTTGATTTGATCGATACTTCGTCCATCCACCATCTGAATAAATAAAGTCATTGTCGATATTTAGAACAGAACAACTATTATTATCATTTATTGTATATTGTTAATATCTTCAAGGAATTTTCAACCCCACAGGCGTATTATTTAAGGATTAAGCCATGGACCCAGTACATTGTGGAGAGTATCATTCTTCCGAAATATGATTTTTAAATCGATGCATGACCTCACAAAATGCCACAGTACATCAAGTTTTAAGCTTATCCTTTTTACACATCGCAAAATATTTTCTACGCAATCATCTAAAAGATTCGAAATCATTAAGATTAACATATTTTCAATGAAGAGTCAAGTTTGAAAAGTATCAATTTGAATCAGTAGAATCAAGTTGTCACGTTGACAACCATTCAACCAATGACCTTGGGTGCAGCGATTGGTAATAATACACTGCAGTTATATGAACTACAGTGCTCGGATTGGCTGGAATCGGACACACCTTGACTAGCTATTCGTGAATGAAGCATATTCTGATATTTTATTTGTGGTAAACGCACCATGTTTTATCACTTGACATTGGCATATCGATTCTCAAAAGTTCATCCATTCCTGGCGTGCTCTATAGTCGAGAATAATTTGATCGAAACCGATTATTGTAGCCAGTGCACTTGGCCTCCATGGAATGATTTCAGGTTTACACAAAATTATGATATCATATTCTTTTAAAATATATATGATTTATAACACTGTACTCTAAACAGGAATTAAAAAATATTGATTTTATCTGTTTTAATAATGTATCATTATTATAGAGGTGTGTAACGTACATTTAAAAATGGTTTATTGAAATGATGTACCTCTCGATTGAAACTCAGTATTGCTAAGACCTTATTCATTAACCAAGGGTGGTGAATTAAGAATTTTCCTCCACTCTTAGAGTACTGATAGATATGATAAAATAATTTGGACTCCGAGACGGGGAAGGTGCGAATACCCCACCAATATATTTTTCAAAAATGTTTTCCAGCCCTTTCCACCCCTTTTTTCAATGTTTGATGAATAAGTGTGTTGCGTTAAGAGACACGGTGAATCTCTTTAAAGGAAAATAGAATATTGTTTTTCACTCCATCCCAATTGAATCCATTTTCCTTTTAAGATGTTAACTGTGTCTCAAAACGCTACATATAGATGCATCAAACAATGAAAAAACAGGGATGGAAAGGGATGAAAATCAGGACAACACTTTTGAAAAAACGTGTTGGTGGGGTGTTTGCACTGTTCTTGTCTCTAGGTCCATATTATTTTTTCATCTCTATCAGTGCTTGTCCTGGAGTTAATGCATTGGCCTAACATATGCCCCTGTTCAAATCGTCAGAAAATACCCAATACCAAACATATAACTGTCTGAAATCTGTTGCGATACCTTCCGAGTTCTGTGTGGTCTCTACATGTGAATGTGAGTTATGCAGTTTCACTTATCCCACATTCTGTATTCTCTTTATAAATATTTGTTCAATATGCAGTGTAACATATTGCCATTAAACGGTACTTGCATACTGGTATGACATAATTCATGCTGTTTAATTTTAAGGTGGAATTTTACATATCAACTACATCGTAACACATTTACATTCTCGTTTAATAATCTCACAAATGGGTTCCAACAGGGTACAAATTCAACATGTAATTTGTCAAAATAATTAGGGATTTTCTCAGAATTCCGAATCTGAATTGAAACCCGACCTTTCCATGATATTCTATGATCTTTAAAGTAATATTTAAAAATCATAAATTCACCTAAATATAGATAACAATTGATTTGGGACTTAAACATGTCAAATATCTTAACCTCGGTCAAGTTATCTGCATTCGAGTCAATCATAATCTTTAAAGATTATGCATCAGTTTTGGGATGTTAGAATGCCAAAACAGAAAAACAAATTTCGAAAATTGATTTAGAAAAGGGTTAGATCTTGGTTAATATCAGAGATTGGGTAAGGGTTAGAGCCAGGAATACAGTTAGAAACGACTTTGAGTTATAGAGATAGGTTAGGGTTAGCTTTGGGTTAGGGGTAGAGTCGACATTAGAGCTATGGTTAAAGAAAGGGTTAGGGTTGGAGCCAGGGTTAGGGTTAAGGCTGGGGTTAGGGTTCGAGCAAGGGTTAAGGTTACCTTGGAGTGAAGGTTAGAGGCAAGGTTAGAGTTAGCAACGGATATTTGTACTACTGGCTTATGTTAGCTAATGTTTTAATGTAAGCAATGTCATTACATGTTTTGACAATTTTAACTTCTAGAGCCTCCACAAAATATCAATTCGAATGCCTCGAAAGGGGTCATAAAATGCATTTAAGAACTGTGAACAAAAATTCAAATCGGCTCATTACCCCACGGCCTATAAGCTTTTAAAGTTCACATATGACCTATCGTCTCTATTTGGCTCCTAGGGCCTCCACAAAATATAAAATTAAAACGACTTTACCTCAAAGGCGGACATCAGCCGTGGTTACATTTTCGACGACCATATGTTACTGAGGCATGACATGAATTCTCCTAGCAAACTTGCTATGCCTACGAACCTAATTGACAAATGCATTTTTGTTTTATTGCTTAGTCCTGAATGGATGTAGGGCTTAACAAAGTGATATGTTACTGCAATGCTGCAGTTTTTTCTGGCAATCGTATGCCTGAGAATTTCTATAGTCTTCGTACACCCTCCTCTTAAACTTTTGTGGCCAGATTAACGTATTATGCTGCAGTTCTTTCTGGCAATCGTATGCCTGATAATTTTTCTAGTCTTCGTACACTCTCCTCTTAAACTTTTGCGGCAAGATTAATGTATTATGCCTTGATAAAGTCTGTTCATTTTTAACGCATAGATTAAAGTAGATTTCAGAACTGAATCATTATCTCGAAACAATTGATCACATTGTAGAATGATTCTAGTTGGTTTATGCAACCTGAACATGATCATTCAACCTTAAGCAAACTGCATTTTTTCTGTCTGCGACCACTATCCAGTTGAAATGGACATTTATCGATAACGCTCTGTGGTTGACCTCCGGCGCATAAGCAGTAATGAAAACAGTGAAACCCGAAAGGGCGCCTATACATTATTTCTAAAATCTGGATTGGAACATTATTTTTATGATATATCATTTTCACCATCTAAATAAGAAGACTACGGAAATATTCAGAACAGACCAACTAATATTATGTTATTATTCAATTGTTATTAGTGAAATGTTCAACCCCAAAGCTGCATTATCGTAAATATTCTGATATTTCATTTGCAGGAAACGTACCATATTACTCATCCTGGTGTATGATAGTTAAGCAAAATGCAAAAATGATGATTGCAGGGAGCAGAAGTATAACTTGGCCTAAATGAAATAACTTATGCACAAAATT